CCGGTCCCCAGCAACAATCTAAAACTGCTGATGGGAAAAAAACAGCAACGATTGTGTCATAATTCCCGAAGTTCTTGGTACTTCCAAGGTCATGCAGAATTTGTAGTATAAATCGTAATAGGTCGCTACACCAAAAAGTACTTCCAGCCGCCAGCTGCGGAAAGCGAAGAGCCCCTTCGGCCGGAAGACCATGTACTAACCAACAATAAGCCTTCATCAAGGCATACTTACTGGGTGCTAGCAGGAAATAAGGGAACTATCTAGCGAGGGATTACATAGGGACTATCCCCTACTAACCCCCAATAAGTAAAGGGCTTATATACGAGGGATTATGTAGGGACTATTCCCCACTAACCCCCCAGTAAGTCTAGGGTCCATATACTATCTAGGGAGGGATTATATAGGGACTATTCCCTATTAAGTCCCAGTAAGTTAGGGGTTTATATACTATCTAGGGAAGATTCTGTGGGGACTATTCCTTTCTAATGCTCAGCAAGTTAAGAGTTTAGGGTTAAGGCTTTAGGGTCACATCTGAAGGTTTAGGGGTCAAGCTCTCTGCATCCACCCAAGCTGCGAATCTTGATGAAATGCTACTCTCTAAGCCCCACCGTTTCTTAGTAGGGAGTCAGCAAATTTACTCTCTGTCTAATTACTACATATATATATATATAAATCCCTAAGGGTCCAAGGACCCAAATAATGGAGTTTTAGGGCCCAAATACCATTGATATTAGATTATTTGGGCCCTAAAACCCCTATTATTTGAGTCCCTGGACGCTTAGGGATTACAGTTTAAGAAGACTGGCAGTCGTCTCTTGGAACGGAAGCCTCGTGCCCACATCAGAGACCATTCCAATCAAATAACCCAACGCTGATACAACAAATCCTGCATGACCTTAGTATAATCCCTACACCCTAAACCGAAATTCACAAGGTTTAGAATGCTAAGGGTCCTCCAGGATGTGTTACAGTCCACCCCAGCACCTGCTTCCGCTTTACAACCTTCCGAAGGCCCTGCAGAAAACCCCGCCCAAGTGTTCCCTGAGGCCTTACGGTTTAGGGTTTAGGGTTTAGGGGTTAGGGTTTAGGGTTAAGGGTTTAGGGGTTTATTGCTATAATTGCTGCCACCATGTCGATTTGATTACGGTTGCTATTACAAGTGCTGGTATTCGTGCGATTACTGCACACTATTGCATCTGCTGCTATGATTATTACTAGTAGTAGCGCAGTGTCCAAGATAAAGACCTCCAACTCTAAAGCCTAAACCCTCAACCCTAAACCCTACACCCAAAACCCTTTAGCCTCAATCCAAAATCCGAGACCACCAAACCCCCTCTCAAGCAGCCTCTTCTCCCGAACAGCATTTGGAGCCCATATTGGCCTCCGCATGCGATTCCCAAGCGAAGGACCAAAATACTTAAGAGTTGGTCTAGGGTTTTGGGTTTGGGCTTTTTAAGCTGGCCTCAGAACCCCACTAACAATTAGAAATTGTGGTTGTTATTAGGATTGTAGTAGCTAAAAATGAAACATGTTGGCGGCCCCTTTATGTTTAGGGGTTCAGGGATTAGGGGTTTGGAGTTTTGGGGTCTAGGGAGCCTAGGGAGTTGTCTTGTTGTGAGAGGCCTCTTTGGAACAAGGGCTTATCTTCTGGTGGTACTCTTGATACTGAAAGCCCTACAAGACTTCAATATACTTACATGCCACCATTCCCAAGGTATGAGGCACTGAGGGTCAGGCAGGAACTTAGCATCAACTGTATGTTGTGGGGCGCTCTTTTTTGTGTATGCTACTTCGGCTTCCAGACGGCAGGCAGCAAGCGATGCATTTTGTCAAAGTCTTGGTTTTTGAAAGTCCTGCAAAATCTGAGATATGCTCTACACCAGGCGTTTCAGTTTTTATAGTGATCCGAAAGCTGCGCATGATTTACAAACCGCAGACCGTAAACTCTAGACCCTTACTCCTAAACTCCAAACCCTAAAACTCTAATGCTATCAACGGATTTTGGGTTAGACCTTTAGTTTGGATCCTAGGGTTCGGGGGAGCCCTAGAAAAGCCACAGCAGTCTCCATATATAGGGCATGACGGGACTGTATGGGGGTTGTTACAAAGGTCCTTATAAAGGAGGGAGCATTGGGAATACATTTCCTGAAAGAGCAGCCTAACTAAACAGAGAACCTGCATCATGGCCATTCTGGGGGCAGGTTCTTTCAACAACTACCATATATTGACCTCAACCTGGGGTCGGACTTTCAAGTCCCTCCTTGAATCCTGCCTTTGACCTTAAAAAGCCCTAACCCTAAGCGTCCAAGTACCCAATAATCATATACATGGACCCTTAGGGTAAGCCCTAAACCCTTGAAGAGTGCCTGGTCTTTGGAGGCTTAGGTGGTTCAATGCTGGGCTTGGCTCGACAAGCAATGTAAAAGCCCAAACAGGGCTGTCCAAAAATCAGGGGTCCCTTTTGGGGTCCTTACATTACGCATTATATGCTTGAGGGTCTTTCATGGGGTCCTCGTAGTTATGGAAACTACCGAACGACCTGGAAGATTGTCATGATGACGCCCTTGTATCCTTTGCGTGAGCACATAAGAATATAGCTCAGCACCTGGTTGTTTCGAACCAACACATTACTGTGTATTGCAAGACCCACAACACCAGTTCAACATTAGACATTTTTGGGGATTTTGGGGGGAACATGGTGCTGGCTAAGAAAAACTAAGCGGCAACAATTATGTGATGTGGATTAGGTGCAGGCTAAATGCCGTTGGCGCGCCAACAGAGCACAAGCCTTTTTCGACAAGCTGACATGCACTGCACACTCCAATGCGAAGCGCCTAGAATGAAGTCCACTACGGGTGGGTAGCTCACGGGAGAAGATCTTCCATTATATTGGGGTTATATTGGGGTTATATAGGGGTAATATAGGGATAATGGAAAAGAAAATGGAAACTACTATAGTAAATTAGATGGACCTGGGTAGCCTTTATGCTTCCTATACCTCCTACTAATCCAAGAACGGTATGGAAGGCTTAGAAGACTACCTTGAAAACTCCCGCCCTACACCAAACCCTATAGGGTTTAGGGTTCCACCCGACTTAGAAATACCCACTTATCACAGTTCCCAATTGGAATTTGCAAAGAGGGAGCCCCGGATAACTGACTGGGCTCACGGCCTGGGTCATTTCGGTGCCCTTAAAGTTAGGACTCTATGTATAATCATACGAGTCCTAGACTAAACTTATAGTATGTGCCTCGAAAATCCACCCTAAACCCCCTATGCATAATCATACGAGTCCTAGACTAAGCTTATAGTATGTTCCTTGAAAAACCCCCCTAAACCCCCTATGCATCCCCGCGTAGGTCCCCCCCAATCGAACTTTAGCTCATACGGCAATTCTAAAGCTCGAATCGTGGTGGTAGAGTTCTTCGTATCCGGAGTTCATTTAGAGCCAAAGAAGAATTTCACAGTCCTCGTAGCGAAGAACAAGACAGGACAGTTTCTCATCAGAGACGGTCTCCTCATGTAAACCAACCCTCAACCCTACACCTTGGGGATGGGTCTGTTTATCTAGGCAACTTCCACCGCGACGCCTAGCTGAAAACCAGCACTGCGCGAAAAAGGCCAGTGTTCTCGCATGGAAGCAAGAACACAAGGAAGATGGTGGCCATGGACACAATTCGGCACGCTTGCAAATCCATGGGTAGGTAGAAACGGCTAGGTTGAAGTGGAGCCCCGCAAGCACTAAACAGGCTTCGTACAACCCTACTTGAAGCATCAAGCTGAATTGGTAAGTATAAGCCAGATAACAACCCCAGTTCTCCATACTACTGTTGATACAGAAATCCTGCATGACCTTAATATACTATAGTACTATAATTCCCAAGGTACAGTACGTGGTACTTAGGGTCATGCACGATTTTTAATATCCACCGTATTAACTTACTTGTTCAGTCTCCTTGGCCCTCCAAGCAGCTTCTCTTTTTACAGCCAAGCCACAACTACCCATGAACCTACGTGAACGCATCTGCCTAGTACCTACTACAGGTGGCCATTTGTACAAGTCAAGTAGCACGATGACCACTCCCACCACTTGCTGTGCAACTATGGTCCTCAACAATAAGAAGATACCGTGTGGCAACAAGTGGCAGATGTCAACCTACATGAGCAATAGTCTAAAGTCCTAGTATCCCCCTTAATAACCCCTATAGTACTCCCTATATAATCCCCTATATAACCCCCCTTTAAGGAGTTTAGACTATAGCTCACATGACCAGGACTGGTCCGAAGCCTGCCGGCACATTACACTGGCCCTCGGAGTTCTCTCCAAAGCAAACCAGCTGTCCGTCCTTGCGTGTCCCGTGTCAAGGATCTTTTTACCCTGAACCATAAACCCTAAACCATAAACCCCTAAACCCCTAAACCATTCCGTCCTTGCGTGTCCCGTGTCAAGGATCTTTTGTTTAGGCTTCTCGGCTGAGGGACGGGGAGGAGCCAACCTACATCAGAGGGTTTCCTAAAATGATGGGTACCATTTTGGAGGTCACTAGAATAAGGACTATAGTATTTTGGGGTCTATATTGGGTATTTTGGGAAACTACCATCATTGTGATTGCAACGCCCATAGTGCACAGTGTCAGTGTAGCGTTTGATATTGCCAAAAACCAGTTAGTCCACTTCTTGCAACAGGGATAGTGAAGGGAAGTTACAAACCACGGCACTATAGTGCTACTGACCCTGAACTTAACGATGGAGCTTAAAGCTGTAAGACCCTTGAAGGGTAAGACAAGTGTAGCTTTTCAGCGAGCTGAATGCAAGGGTGCTGGACACTTCTTCCGCACGATTCAGCTTTAGGTTCTAGCCTAAACCATAAACCCTAAACCATAAACCCTAGACCCTAAACCCTAGAATCCTAAACCCTAGAATCCTAAATCCTGAGGATTCTAAATCCTGAGGATTCTACATGCAGAAGGGTTTTTAGGCCCATAGGCTTCCAAGCATCTGCCCCCACTGCGCACGTGTGTCGAAGTCCAGCGGAAAGAGCCAGCACGGAATGCAAGTCAGCAGGTACATTGCCTTAAGCCCGGGATGAACAATGAACAAGCAAGCATGAGAGTTTGGGGATTTGGGGTCTTCTTGGAGGGTCAGGGGGACTTATGCGAGTAGGCGAAAAGCACTAAGATTGAGCCTCAAGGGTCTTTGTTGAGCAGCTTCAGGTAAGGCATACGGTAGAGCGATAAAACCTACAAGTACTATTCCCTAATACGTCTTTGATGACTTCAAATGCAAATCTGTGCGAAGCGCTATTTTGATTCAATATGCCCCTGCATTACACATCCAAGGACAAGCTGCACCAGCCGTGATAGTTGTCGCCGAAGCAGATCAAACTCCCATCAGATTTGACCACGCAGGTGTGATACTTTCCGGCAGAGACAGCAAGGGTCGCGCCAGCATCTGCTGGTGGGCTACATTGGCCGTAATTGTTGTGTCCGAAACATTCGATCTGCCCTTAGCTGACTGTAGGAGCCCCCCTAAACGATAAGCCTCCCTTTGAAAAGCAGAAAGAAGCCTAAAAAGATGAAGGCACAAGAGCCAGGTTTTAGGCAGCCAAGTCTCCATCAGCTTTCATGGCGCAAGTGTGACAGATGCCCATGCAGGCACTCTGAACCGGTCCTAAGTCTTCCGGTACGCTGCACTGGCCACGGCGATTGTCGCCAAAACAAACCAGCTGACCATCTGCTTTCACCTGACTGGTACTTTGTGTGAACTCCTAGAGTTCTATCCTGCTGCCTCAGCTACACTCCCCGTCCATCAAAAGCATACCGATTCACCATGCCCCACTCCCCCCTTAAGCACCAGTAAGTCGCAACGCATGTGTGGTGAATCCCCGCGGACAAGCTGAATATGGGGCCCAGATCCAGTGGCAGGTTGCACTGTCCATCATGGTTTTCCCCAAAGCACACCAGGCCTCCGTCAGTCCTGTTGGGTTGAGAGTAGTAGGGGAATGAGGTATACGGGCGTTTTTGGAAGAACATTTACTTATGGCAACGATTGCAAGGGAATGTCTGTAAAGGGGATCCGTCATCCCATTTCCAACCCTGAACCCTCGCTCAAGACCCTAAACCCTGCACCTTCAACTACGCCTGTCAGTCCTTGCGGCGCAGGTGTGATGACAGCCCGCCGACACTGCTGCAACTGGCCCTAAATTTGCTGGCACATCGCACTGGCCTTCGGAATTCCGCCCAAAACAAACGAGATGTCCATTCCTTTGCACCACACAGGTATGATGACAGCCTGCCGACACGGCCATAATGGGTCCGAGTCCAGTTGGCGGGTCGCACTGACCACTTGAGTTCTTCCCGAAACCTGGCTTCTTATTGGCACACTGGTAAGCTTTAGATAGTTTAAGTGGGCCCCCCCCTTCCCTGTAATAGCGGAATGTAAGGCATATAAGAGGACCCTACTACAGTCACCACGATCCCTTGCAGTCGCTATTCCTGGGTGGGGGGTCCACCTACGTGAAGCATAGTTGTTTGGATTCCTGCTTGGGCTTGGTATACAGAAAATACCAGCTATGCTCAACCACGGCCCAGAAACAGAAAAGCAGGCCATCAGGCCTAATGACGCAAGTATGATGCAGACCAGCGGCCAGGGTTGTCGTGGTAAAAGGCATTGACAAGCTGGTTGGCAAGGACCAGCTCCTAGTTGCGGGTTTAGGGTTAAGGGCTGAAGGGTTAAGGGTGTAGGGTTAAGGGCTAAAGGGTTTAGGGTTAGGGGTTAAGGGTTTAGGGCTAGGGGTTAAGGGTTTAGGGTGAGGAGTTTGAGGTTCAGGGTCTAGACCCTAGACCCAAAACTCTAAACCGTATGAATGAACCCTAAGCTCTAAACCCTGAACCCTAAGCTCTAAACCCTGAACCCTAGCCTCTAAACTCTAAACTTTCAACCCTAAACCCTAAACCCCTAAACCCTAAACTCTAAACCCCAAACCTTTCCCGCAAAAGCTCCTCATGCGGCGTTCTCCCAAGGGCAGACCCAGCCATGACTGACCCTTGAGGTTCTTAGTGGCGCTTCCTGGGCTGATGTTAAGGACATTCATCTTGCGGTATAGTCCCCCTTAAGTAGATAGAATATGGGGTATATGGGGGGTCCTATTATAACATACCCAAAGCCATATTCTATCTACTTAAGGGTGACTGTAACCCTAAAACCCTACATCCCAGAGGGTTCAAGTGATAATTAGGTATTGGGATGTTGGTAATAGTAATCTTGGTATAGGTTTTGGGTAAGTATATGACTAAGTACTTGGACCATTAGGGCATTATGATAGCTGAGCTCAAGGTTCGCAACTTCCCTCTAGCCTCTGCTTCGATTTCGTTGTCCATTTTCTTTTACATTCACCCTGAACCCTACATAGCCCCCCTGTGGCCCCTTTAAATGAGAAGCCATCGTTATGGTAGCTTTGTAAACTTAGTAGTATGGTAAATTAGCAACAACCCACCCTAATCGCCCGAACCCTACTAGACCCTAAATTCGACACCTTAAACCTTAACCATGAGTCGAAAACCCTATAACTCCCATATAACACCCTTACAGGGGACCCAGTACATTTCTCAATGACAGCCCAGCTTCTTGCGCAGCTGCAAAGCTTTGCTGCAGCCATTCGCAATCAGCATGGGCGTGGCCGACAGGGCTAAGACGCTTCAGAGTTGGCTTAGGGTTTGGGGTTTAGGGATTAGAGTTCCGGGTTCAGGGGTCTAGGATTCAGGGTTTAAAGGTTGGAGTGTTTGAGTAAGGCTTAGGGTAGTTAGTGCCACCTGCCGACCCGGACCCTTCAAGTAGTCTAAAATTAGGGGCCTAGGTACATGCTGAACGCCTTAATCCTTTCCGTTTAGATTCCTTAGATCTTGTGAGTCCAAAGCTGTCACAGAACCCCAAAATTGAGAGCGGGGCCTCCAACCCGTTGTGGAACGCCTACTGGGTATCTGCTAATCAGGGGCTTTCCTAAAACAGGGGTACCTTTTTGTAGCCCATCTATAAAGGCCATAGTATTTGGGAGTTTATCTTGGAATCTGCCCATTTCGGGAAACCTGACGTTGTGTGGTGCAGATTTTGTGTCGGTAAGTTTTGCCCTAAACCCTAAACCCTGAACCCTAAACCCCCAGAGGCTGTGAACGCAAGCCTGGTCGGCAGCCTCGAGGTCAGGGTAGGGTTTAGGGTTGAGGGTATCCCCCTTAATAATGGAGAAACAAATGGAAAAGAACATGGAACATGAAACGGAAACGGGGATTATATAGGAGATTCTAGGGGTTATGGTCTAATCTCCTAGTATCCCCCTTCATAACCCTAATAGTAGTCCCCTATATATTCCCCTAGATAACCCCTTAAGGAGTTTAGACTATAGCCCCTATGGTGGCACGCACATGCAGGAGTCTGTTCGCTGAAGGTTCATGAGCAAGCTCACAGTTTTGGGGTTTAGGGCGCAACACAGCTTCAGTTGAGACGGTTGAGTGTCACATGCTCAGAAATTGGACACGTGGAGGTTTCTCGAAAGTGGAAAGTTGTTGACTATATGAGTTATAGTCTAAACTCCTTCAAGGGGCTCTATACAAGGGATTATATAGGTGACTATTATAGGGGTTATTAAGGGGGATACTGGGAGTTTAGACAGTGGCTCACATTGCAACTGTAGGGGTCTCATGTATGCGCTCTGCAAGGATCCCAGACCCTAAGCCCTAAACCTTAAGCTCTTCACCCTTTGGGAAGCTGCTTCTTCCCATATGAACCCACTACTACATTGGGGAAACTAGAGGATTACTAGGGGGTTCCATTTTTTGGATCCTTTAGGGGGTCTGGGTTTGAGTTCAGCCCTGAAGCTATATGAACCCCCCCACCCAGACCCTTGGAGGATGTAGAGGGTAGGAACTCCCAATATGATGCCCTATACTTCTCGGTGGTTAGTAGGGAGTAGGGGCGTATAATCCCTGTAGAATACATTTCCTTATTCCCTACTAACCCCGTGTAAGTATACCACGACTGGATAATGTCTAGGAATCCTTCATTGAGATCTGCTTTCTAGATTCTCCCGCGGGTGCGGGAAATCGTGTCTTGAAGTCGGATCAAGCTTTCTACGCCAAGGTGGTCTGAGTTCATGTAGCGCCACACGCATAAACAGGAAACTTGCCCTGACGGAGAACTTGAAGGGAACGCATTCAAAGGGATGTATATGTTCAGAGTTTAGGGGATACACTCCCAAAGAACTTCCTTGAACCCACCAAAAGGGCTCTAGAACACCTGCTGTCACTCCAAAAAGGCTAGTCGGGGCATATCAATTTTGAGGAACCTTAAAACCTAAACCCTGAAAAGCTCGAACCCTTAACCAAGCTTGACTGACTGACAAACAATGTCCAGCACCCAAGAAACTGTTAAAGCTCCGACCACAGCCCCAACAACAACGAAGTCTCCCCTCGGCCCTGAAAGCTTCAAGGTCGGCTATGCTGGACATACGCTGATGTACCTGCAGCTAGATCATTCGCATCCGACTCATCGTAACTCACAACCTTAAGACCTAAACCCAAATACCTCAAGCCTATGACGTCTGAAATCCAAAGCCTAAACCCTGTGGTTTCTTTAGAAGGAAACCGTTTAGACAGTGCCTCCCGCTGTTCGACTCCAGCAGTGGAGGGACCCAAGCTAGTGGACAGTAAGCTTGAGCAAAGCGGCAACACGGTTTAAGGTGACAGGCATATTTACGGTAAAAGAGGCTCAAGAACCTCTCTAAACCCTAAACCATAGCTTTTAAGGAGCCGTTGAAAAAGCGCTATGCATACCGGGTCTCTTGCATGCAATACGAGTCCTCTTTGGTGGCGTTTCTGGTCATGCAGACCCAATCCCGTAATCCTGAACCATGCAACCCCCCGCAAACAGAAAACAAAACAAACGGCCTAATAAGCCTTAGTAAGCATTAAAGGGTCCCCCTGAAGGGCACCCGTAACCCTCCCCTCAACTGGTTATTTCATAGTGCTTCCAAAGCCTGCAAAGCCTGAAAGTCTGTGTTTTCTATATACAGCATCATTTGCAGTGAGTGAGGTTGGGTAAGGTCGTTGCACTTGCCCAGCTTACACTAAACCTAAACTCTAAAAACTAAACCCTAAACATCGCAGCCATCCCACCACCCTGAAGGCCACGTTTGGGGCCCAAGGGTCCCCTAAGGGTCCAAGGACCCAAATAATAGGGTTTCAGGGCCCAAATACTATAATAGCAATGGTATTTGGGCCCTAAAACCTTATCATTTAAGTCCTTGGACCCTTAGGGGTCTTGAGTATTACGTAAACCGCACAACCCCAAAAGTGTTGCGCTCAAGTCAAGGTTTTTTAGCGCGCGCTTGCACAGGCTCTCGGGATTCAAGAGCCCAACGCTTCAGCTTGTCGCTTCTCTTAGGGGCAAATAGACGGGGCAAGAATTTGAAATGGGGACAATTTGTATACAGGGGCAATATGGTAGTTTCCCAAAATAGGGGGAACCCAATATGAAACCAAAAAACTATAATCCTGATTATGGCGACCCCCAAAAAGGTACCCCTAATTTTGGGAAACCTTCATATAAGGGCTGTATAGGATTACGGGGAACTATTTGGCTTGAGTAAGGTTCCTATATCGGCAGTCCCCTCCTGTAGTCGCATTGGATGACCCCAAACCACCCCCCAGCCCCTGACATAACATGTTCCCTGGCTTTGTAGCCATAGATTGGGTACTGCCCCCACCCAGTAACAGTCTATATTAGGGGTCCTATTGAGGGCTATATATAAGCATATTATAGTTATTATCCAATTGTTACTGAGGGGGGCAGTACCCAAGCCATAGATATGTCGAGACTCATTAGTTGCAGGGGTAGTTGGGTTCTTAGGGGCAACCTCGACCTCCAAAATACTCAGAAGCATGGCCTCTAGACCTGTCATGTTTAGCTTAAAGACAGTATGGGTAATTATGTGGGAAGTCTAGGGAGAACCACTTGCTTGTGAAACACTATGCGGAGACGTAACGAACAATGCTTCGAAGTTCTTTGCTTCGACGCTCACGTGATCTACGACGTGCTGGGTGGGTGGGGGGGGACATAAGTAAGACAAGTATGACTTCAACTTGTCTCTGGAAGCAGGATGCTAACAACAATGTGTTGGTAAACCCAGCCCAAAATCGGGACCTTATGACGGTATTATGACGATCATTAGTATAACTATCATGGAGGCCTAGACCCTAAACCCTAACTCGCAAACCTGAAAAACTAAACCCGTAAATTACGAGGAGCATCATAAGTCCTAGGGGGTTAAACCCGAGTTAGGATCCTAAACCCCACATTTTGAATAGTTAGAA